CCGGGGTACCATCTGATGTACCAATCCGGCACCTGCTGAGCAGATACTCCAACGGAGTGCTCAGTGCTGTATGGATAGCCCGATTCATCATGCGTAGGGCGTCTAGGAGCTGAGCGGCTCCTTCCGCGGGCTGGCCCCGCTGACGCACTACCACGTGTCACTGGCCTTTGATCGTCATGCTCTGAGTCTCGGGGAGGCGACGGTCGCCTGTCCCTCTTGGCGTACCGCATGTCCTCCGAGTCCTCTGAGCTGTCCTGGACCATGAACACGTTTTGATACGGGCTTCTGAAGTATCCGATGTCATTTAACTGCTCCATCGAGAGGTCGTTAATGTTCATTTGATCGCAACCTTGCATGAATACATCCATAGACCAAGCGGGTGGCCCCGCTGTTGTGTCTAGCATCTCTTCGGCGGGTGACCCCGCTAGAGCTTGGAGTGCTGTAAGCATCTGAGATGCTGACATGTTCGAATCCAAGTATGGACGTAGACGGGCAACTCCTGGGTGCGACAGCAGTTCGCTCATCGTCATCTGCTGCTGTGCTGGCGCACTCAAGAGTCGGATTGCTTCTGAAACCTGCTCTTGGAGCATGTCGTTATAATCTTCTTCGGATTCTTCGGAGTCGGAATACGCGGGATGGCCCCGCATTTCGTCATCGGCGTCTCCCATCTCCGAGCCAGCCCACGACGGATTTGGCAGCAACGGCATGCCAATCACTTGTGGGGCCAGCGCGGCGGTGAGTTCTTCCTCTGTTGCCGGGACAGTCTCGGCTTCGGAGACCTCGTCACCGGCGGGTGGCCCCGCTGGAAGACCGAACCAAGCATTGTACGCAATCTCATCGACCTCGTCCCAGCCGTGGAACTCGTCGAAGAGGGTCACTGCGTAGTCTTCCAGGGCCACAGTTGCTTCAGCATAGCGGGCCATCACGTAATACGTGGAGGAGCCCGCAGCGGGAGCCGCTTCTGGATTGACGTAAAACTCGTAGTCAATGTAATCTATGTCATCCATAAAAGAATTTTGAGCCAAGTGTACGGATCCCTTTCCTTTCCCCTTCGGGCATTGATCGCGCAAATGCTCTGTGCTACCGCATGTATGACACTTCATAGTATTACCAGAAGCGTCCCTAGGGTTGCCCCTCCGCCCCTTTCCCTTACCGGAGGTCCGCCTGTGACCCCGACCTTTGCCTCCGATAAGAACTTCTTCAAAAGCCATATCAGTTAAGGACGTGAGGAAAGCAGTAATACCCCTACCATGCATACGGCGTCTGCGACCCCCTTTACCACGACCCTTTCCAAATTGTTTGAAATGTCGGCGTACTGCACGTCTCACCTTTCTGACTGGTTTCTTCATAAAGCGCCTCCAACGGCGTTTTGATTTGCGATAAGCCATAAAGGCGGCTTCCGCCCTTTGCTGTTCAGAAAGGTGAGTGTCGTCCGCTGGATAGTCATTACCAGCAGAGACTATTCCATTGTGCTCATCGTCAGATGAAGTATCTGTGTCAGTGCCAGATTCAAACGGTGAGGGTGGCTGAGACCATTGAGCGGATGACTCCGCTTGGCCCCAGAGGGTTGTGCCCGAGGGCGGGCTTGCAGTGTAGGCGGCGCCTGGCGAGTAGTTCGACCAGGCGTTCGCCTCAGCTGCCTCTGCCGATGCCTGGCCGGTCTGCCCTAGAAGGGCAGTGGCCTCGTTGGGCATATCGGCTGGGTCAGCCCAGGGATTTGGCTCGCCAGGACCAGCGGGTGACCCCGCAGTCGTGGCGTAGACACCTGCATGTGAGTGGTGCCCTGTGAAGATACCCGCTATGTTGCCAGGAGAGCGCTCGGCAACATGTCCGTAGTTCCTCATCCTGGTCAGCAGCCTGTCATAGTCTGCTTGTGTTCGGGGCATCTGATGATTGAAGGGCTCAAGCAGGTGTTGGGCTCGTGACGCGCCAACGCCTAACGCTCTGAAGAGAATCAGCGTTAGGATCTGAAAGTTGGGGATGACAAAGCCAACAGAGTTAGCCTCGTCACGGGCCATCTCGAATCGAGCTAATACTGAGTCGATTCGCTCGCCCCTTTCGACGCGGAAGTCGATAAGGGCCGTGCCAGAGTTGAGCTGGCGCTCATCTTCCAGATTTTCAAATTTGGTGCTCAGTAAGTACAGTATGTAGGTTACTGCATCCGTTGGCTGTCCATTGACAGTTACACCATAATTGATGATCTGGGAGGGGACCTGCATGGCGATACGACGAGCCAGACCCTGAAGGCCTCGTTGTAGTGCTGCAGCTTGTTGTGGTGGTGTCATATTGCCGCTCGTTACGTTTAACCATGCATGTACTTCGCGAACGTATTCGCGGAAAGGCGTAGTACCGGCAGGGTCCCATGTAGGGCCAGTAGTACGCGTGTCGTCCATCCCCTGCCGCATGTATCCCACAGCACATCCCATTATCACCCATAGAATGCCGAAGATAGTTATCTTGATCCAATGCATATGCATTTCGGCTTCGGTGATTGGTTTAGGCTGTGGTTTGTCAGGCTCTGGCGTGGTAGCCGTGAGGCGCCTGACCGGCACGGGATGCAGGTGGCCCCGCTGCGGGTAGCCCCGCAGGGTGACCACGTTCTCGATCGAGTTGCCGATTGGCATCTGGTGGAAGTCAGGAGTGAAGTAGCGCAGTGAAGTAGGAGAAAGCGTCTCGAGTTCGCGGGTTGCCCCGCTAGCTCGATCGCGGACTGGCTCCGCTCCTCGCAGAGCCGGCGCAACATGGTATTCCACCGTAGTAGTAGTCCACCAAGTTGTGCCGTGGATTACAGGAATCAGAGCGAGAGCCAGCCACACGAGAGTGTAGCCAGCTCCGCTACCAAGTCGAAAACAAGCTGGTAAGCTTAGGTATACAGTCCGCCTTAGGCGCTTCCATATCCCAGGCTTAGGCTCATAGCGCATGAGCAAGAGAGCGAGACGAAGCATGGGATCTGGAGTATAGAGTAGGATGGGCATCGTCAATGGAAAGGATGTTTTCCGATCTCAGATGCAAGTAGTGCGCCTCGGTGAGGCACAGTCACATATCAGGCCGGGCCCGGCTTGAGCCAGGCACGGCAGCGGTACATGCTCGATTTATACCTCGCCTTTAACCTTCTCCGTTTGAAGTGCTTCATATTGGAAACGCAAGGTGAGAAGCCCGAAGGGGAGCCAAAACGATGATGATGATGATGCTGATGATGAGGAGGAGGAGGAGAAGGATCATGATGATGATGATGATGATGAGGAGGAGGAGGAGGAGGAGGAGGAGGAGGAGCAGGACATTCTAGCGCGCTTTACAAGAACACGCGATCCTGGGGGCTTTGGGAAAAGGTGACGGCGGCTGTACGTCCCGGAGCACGAGGAGCCCAACACTGACGACATACATGGTGGGTCACCTAGACCATACAGCATTCGACGGCTCTACGCGTCCGGGTACGATGTGCCAAACAAACTGTGCTTCTACAAGATCATGGTGATGGTGGTGATGATGAGGGTGAGGAGTGATACAATTCTTGTTCCTGCGCCGGGGGGCTGAGGAAACACCAGCTCCACTCCGTCGGACGTGGGGAAACATAATCGTGGGGAGGGGGGGAAGGGCACAAAGTGGTGAAGATGACAAGGGGGAGGAGGAAACATCATATTTTTGGCAAACATTGAATTCGTTACGCGAGCAGACGTGATGCTCGGCTTGCCGTTATCTGAGCTTCGGCAAGCGCCAGCAGTTGTCTGCCCGTGCTGTGTTGACCAGACTGTCTAAGCGTGCATCAGCGCAGCTCGGCCGCTGCTGAGATTAACTTTGCAGCAAATGTCCGCATTCCAGCGGCAACGTCATTACAGCACCGACGGCAGCAGGACAACCGGCCCGGGTAGCGATCCCCATCTCTACCAGCGGAACAGTCGATCTGCTAAGATTGCTAACAATACAGTCCTGGAGCAACACTGGTTGCGAGATGTTGAGGCGGGCGCTCTCGCCGGCACTCTCATCCACGCAAGATTGAGGCCCTCCCTGCCTCTTCGCTCCCTCCCCACGTACGATGGCAGAATCATCCTGCCGTGCTCCCCTACGGGTAAATATCGCGGCCGTCATGACCGGGTCGGAGCCAGGAAGCAGAGATGCCCAGAGGAGATTGAGAAGATACGTGAGGTCGAGCGGAGTTGGAGCATGAGTGAAGGACACCGTACAAGTCTTCAACTCTGCGTTGCACTCTTTTCTGGTGTTGCTCACCCTCTCCACTGCTGCTGGCCCCAAGATGGCTATTCAGGCACCGAGGATGCCACCCCGAGCAAAATAACATAAACGACAGTGAGCTGGCCCCAGTGAGATCAGCTCCTCCTCCTCCTCCTCCTCCTCCTCCTCCTCCTCCTCCTCCTCTTCCTCCTCCTGGCACTCCTCCTCATCATACTTTCTCTCATCCTCATCATCTGCGTCCTCCCTAATCATTTGCTTCTACGCCTCCTCCTTCTGCCCGAAGAGGTGGACATAAGCGTTCCGTGCCAAGAGGTCGAACGGTGACTATGGGCCAGCCGGGTGAGGTCGGGGGCAGCGTCATCGACTTAGCACGGCAATGCGAAACAAGCATCTTAGGGCGTGAGTGGCTTAGGGCGTTTCCTATTCCAACCCCCTCATTTCCCCTCGGGGAGGGGTGTGCCCCTCCCCTTCCCCCCTCCCCCTGGGCTTGGACGAGGGGGGTCGCGACCGATTGGAACGTCCCAGACGGCCCCGGCAAGAAGGCACAAATCATAGATTTCCTTCGGGTGTTGGACCAAGTTTGAAACCGATCTCCTCCCGGATAGGCCCGAGATGGCCCCCAAGACTTTCAAGAGAACGAGGAGAGGCGCTGCGCGCGAGGCCCCGCGCCCCCGCCGATCGTCTCCAGAGAACTCCCCCCCTGTGGAAGGGCGGGGGCGAGGATGAACCGAAAAGGCATCACAGCAACCACCTCAGAGCACGGAGAGGGAGGAGTGGAGGCCGGCAAGGACGAGGCAGGAGGCGGGAAGGGCGGGGGGGTGGGCGTCGGGGCGATGGCGGCCAGAGCCCTCAGCAGACGGAACAGAAGCTTGCCGAGCACGGCAGGTTCGCGTCGTGTCGACCCCGGCGTTGGTTTCTGCCACCGCGGGGATCGTTCGTTCAGCCTTGAACGATCGGCCGCTTCCGAAACGTCCGAATCGTTCCACAACGAACGATTCTGGGTCGCCCGCGGCGTTCAAAGCTGAACGCCGCTGGCGGGGTCGCCGCTTGTCGACACGACACGAGCCTACCGTATTCGGAGGTCCGCGGGGGCTTCTTGGATCGGAGCTGGACGCCCATACCCTGGGGCGCGGAACGCGCCGTTGGCGGCGCCGCAGCCGGGCGCGAGTCACTGTGGGGGGCACTTTCGTGCCCTAAAAACCTCCATCTGTGCCCGGAAGGGCTTTTTCAGAGGCCGTGACGGGCCCCCTTTTTCGGCAGCCCTCCCTGCCCCTCCATTTACCGCCCCCCCCTTACGCAGCCTCCTTGCAACGCAAGCACCGCCAAGGGGGTCTGGGGTCCAGCGCCGACCCAAGAGAAATCCTCGCGGACCTCCGAAAGTCTGCGCCTGCAGTGCAGCTTCCCCTTCTTGAGCTCGAAAGGGCTCGGTCAAAGTTAGGCAGAAGCCGCTCGCCGTCCACGGCCCAGGCAATGCCATCCGCTACGGTCAGGAGCTTTTGCTCAGCGTGTCGCGGCGGCAGCCCCCGCGACACGGTATGTCTTGCAAGCGGATCGCACCTCGCTCCGCTCCGCGGGGTGGGAGGCTGGGAACAGCTCGGGGCCCTGACGCTTGGGCACGGGGACGCGGATGGAGTGTCGCGCAGAAGCGGGGTGGGCCAGAACAGATGCAGCACCACGCTAAGCCAAAGTTCTTCCGCGCAAAGGTAGAGGCCTCCCAGGTGGGGTCCGAGTAAATGGGGTCGCACGATCGCGCAGCGTCGCCGATGCATCGACGATGCATCGGCGACGTCGGCGATATGTCGGCGCCATCGGCTAAGAGAAAATCTGACCCCACATCCAGCCGCATCGGCGATGCATCGGCGATGCGGCGCGATCCTGCTCCGACCCCACCCTGGCGGCCTGTATGCGGTGTCACTGGGGCGCTGCCAGCCCAGGTAGAAGCCGGTCGCCGCCCAGCTGATGACGAGGATCCCCCGACCCCATCTGCTCCGACCCCCGCCCTGGCGGCCTACATGCGGTGTCCATGGGGCGCTGCCAGCCCAGGCAGAAGCCGCTCGCCGCCCAGCTGATGACGAGGATCCCCCGACCCCCTCTGCTCCGACCCCGACCCTGGCGGCGTATATACGGAGCCCATGGGGCGCGGTCAGCCCAGGCAGAAGCCGCTCGCCGTCCAGCTGATGACGAGGCCCGGGCCCGCCCCCGCCGGGGGCGTGGCGGGCACGTTGCCGCCCGCCCCGCCCGCCGCTGCCGCCGTGGCGCCCGGCCGCGCGCCTGGCGCCGCGCAGGCCTGCGGGGCGGCGGCGCGGGGCGCCACCGCGGTCGGGGCCGCCGCGGGGGCGTCCTCGCCGGCGCGTTGGGGGGAGTGCGTCGCCGATGCGCCGCGGTCCTCCTCCGCCCCCACCTGCTCGGACCCCGCCGGGGAGTTCTGCATAGAGCGGAGGGGGCCCGGGTCGGACGCTCCGGGGGGCCCCATTGGTCCGAGGCTCCGGGCAGATTGGGGCGGCCGGCTCGTGGCTTCTCTCTTTTCGGCCTCCGGGGAGCCTCAGCGGGCCCCCGGACCGCCAACGAACGACGCAGGATGAAAAACCGGCCCCGGGGAAGTTCTCCAGACCTGCGGGGGCCCACGCATCTTCAGATTGGAGCGCCGGATGTCTGGGTCCGGCGGTCCGGCATGCAGGGAACTCGGGTCGGACGCAAGGGGGACTATAGTAGAAAAGGGGGTGGTCGCGACTCAACTTACGTACGGCTGTTTGTCCCGGCGCCTCTCGGCGCCGAAGCAGATCTCGCAAGCCCCCCGTTACCCATATCCCCCCTTCCTCCCTACATGCATGCATCCCCCTTTCCCTACATCCCGACCCGGAGGACCAAGGCCTCCGAGGGATTGCTTTTTGCGACAGCCCGGCGATTTTCCCCCATTCTGGCCCCTGGGGGCCGATAGTACTTCCAAAACGATGAAAATTCAACTCGATGCTGAAGTTCTTCGCCGCTTTCAACCTCTCCAGGGCCCTCGACAGTCCGCGGGGCCGTCAAAAGACGACTGCAGGATGAAACGCCAGCCCTGGGGAAAGGTTCCATGATTGGCAGCGCGCACAAGGGGATAAGGGCAGGGGGAAAGGCTTCTTAGAAGGAGGCTGCTTCTTCGAAGGCGCTGGCCGTACATCTACAGACAAGGCCCGCGCCATCTAAGAAGCAGTAGTGTTTCTAAGAAGCCTTCCCCCCTCCACCTACCCCCCTCTGCGCGTGGCTGACATGACGTCCGTGGGGACGGCTGTCTGGAAGCGGGTCCTGGAGCCAGGGTCTCTGGGACCAGTTCTTGATCCTGAGCAGTTCCTGGACTCGGCGGTGAGCCCAGGGGGGACATGAGAAGGGGCAGGCCTTCTCAGAAGGCTCGGAAGTCCCCCGGCCTTCTGAGTAGCTTCCTAAGCCTTCCCCGAAGGACACCCCGAAGTCCCGCCGCCTCCTGAGAAGGCCTGGAGGAGGAGGAGGAGGAGGAGGAGGAGGAGGAGGAGGAGGAGGAGGAGGAGGAGGAGGAGAAGGAGGAAGAGGAGGAGGAGGAGGAGGAGGAGGCGGAGGCCTTCTCCTTCCCACTTCCCCCCCGTCGCTCGCTGCCGATGGACACGGTCCTGGAGCCCTGGCGGAGGGCCTCGAGGGCCTGGCAACGGCCCTCTGGACCCTGCATTCCTTCTTCCCTTCAAGGCACACGCAGAACTTGCACGCGCACCCGCCAGAGTCCAAATGGGTCCGACCCTCCCCCACCCTTTCCAGCGCCAAGAGGGGGAAGGGGGGGGGGAGGGGTCCGGAGCCCCCCCCCCCCTTCAAGGGGGGTGGGGGGAGGGGGGGGGTCGGGCCCCCCCCCCCCTCAAGGGGGGGAAGGGGGGGGGTTCTGGACCCCCCCCTTGAAGGGGGGGAGGGGGGGGGTTCTGCACCCCCCCCTTTAGTGTATTCAGGGAAATCCATTGGCGCACTTTCTAAATCTGCCATGCCATCTTTCGAAGCGGATCCAGCCGCGACGGCGAGGAAGCCTCCAAGGAGGCCCCCAAAAGCAGCAAGAGAAACGCCAGGGGAGTGCCCGACCGCTGCCTCCAAGGCCCTGTCGTTGGCTTTCGGGTCACAGCTCGGCTCTCTGGCGGCCGCTCGGGACGGTCCGGGCACCCACGTAAAACGCCCTCGGCGAGGGGGAGCTGCTGGAAACCATCCCGAGGCTGGAGAACCGCCGAGAACCGACGAACATGTCAGAGAACCAGAAAACCCTCTCGGACCTTTTTAAACACCCCAGCGTCATGATGTTTGCATCACGTCGACCCCCGGAGGTCTCGACCCGTTCCTGGGGACTGGTTTCTCGTCCTGAATCCATCCTGGACGGCCCCCATGCCCAGTGAGGGCCCCGGGAGACCGCATCTATAGCGAAACACCTCCGTCGTGATTTTTGGCAGGACCCGAGGGGGCCTAACTCTGGGCGTGGGGTTTGGGGGCCTCCGCTTGGCCCCCGACGCTTCCTGGGCAGCGGCCAGCGGCCCGCAGCTCGGGCCCGCCGCCCGGGCAGCGGTGGCCGCGGGCGAGGGCTCGCGCGCCGGCGGAGCGGCGCTGGCCGGCGGCCCTGCGGCCCGGGCGCCGCGCGCGGGGAGGAAGCCGTCCTCGGGGACGCACACAGGGCACACTGGTACGATGTCCTCCTCCTCCTCCTCCTCCTCCTCCCCCGCCTCCTCCTCCTCCCGCCTCCTCCTCCTCCCTCCTCCTCCTCCTCCCTCCTCCTCCCTCCCTCCTCCTCCTCCTCTCCTCCTCCTCCCCTCCCCCTCCTCCCTCCTCCTCCCTTCTCCTCTCCGCCTCCTCCTCCCTCCTCCTCCTCCTCCTCCCTCCTCCCCCGCCCCCATCCCCCTCCTCCTCTCCCCTCGGACGCACAACGGCATACTTCCAGCCGACCCGCATCACAAGGGAGCACGATAGGGATGCAACAGGGCCTTGGACGCCCGTTGCGAGGCTTTTCGAGCGGGGCGCGGCCAACGAAAGTTGCCAAGGATGCACCGAGGAGGCAAGGATGCAAGGGTAAGGATGCAAGGGTATCCTTGGGTACTATGTGTGCTCCTCTTAGGAGCCACCAAAAGGGGGGTGACCCTGAGGGAGGGGGCATGGGTGCGCTTCGCTGGTACACCGAACTGTCACAAACGGATGCCCCCTGCATGCCCCACCTGTGGGCAACGGTCAGGAGCTGCCGGCGGCTGGGGGGCATCTGCTTTGGGCGGTTCGGTGCAACAGCCGATCGAACTCACACCCCGCCCAGGGCACGCCCTCCCCTTTGCGGGATCCCGAGTGCTACGTGTGCTCCTCGGACGCACAAGGACGTGCGGGTACTAAGTTTCTCGGCGCGCGCGCGTCGCCCCTTTGGAGCGTCTGCCCGGCCGACCCGCGCGGGGAGGAAGCCGACCTATAGATCGACTGCTCGAAACCCAGACCCCCTCGGGTCGGGGAAAGATCACGACGGAGTTCGGGCTCCCCGGGCTCTCACTGGGCCCCGGGTCCGTCAAAAAGCGGCGCGGGATAAGAAGCCGGTCCCGGGGAATGGGTCGAGACCTCCGGAAGTCGACGTGATGAAACAAAATCATTGCGTCGGGGGTCTGGGAAGTCGGAAACAGGCGCCCAGGAGGCCACAAGAAGTCCCCTAGAGACCCCCCAAAGGCCCCAAGATGCCTCCAAGAGACCAGAAAGAGGTCCCAGGAGGCCCCAAAGCTGTCACCGAGAGGCCGTCTAATTGCCTCCAAGAGGCCCCCGAGAGGCCCTCACGAGATCCCAGCGAACACCAAACATGTTTCATTCTCACAACCCCGGCGGCGGGAAGGGCCGAAGACCATCCTCGCAAGTTGGCGATCGGATCCAGACCATCTCGGGTCATGAACAAGAACACGACGGAAGGTTTTCGGCTATCTTCGGTCCAGGCCCCAGCCGGCCCGGGGAATGGGTCGAGACCTCTGGGGGTCGACGTCGGCCTTCGGACTGCTCGCAAGTTGGCCCTCAGATCTGGGCATCGCAAGAATCGGGGACGCACTGACCCGCAGATCTGGGCGATGCAATTTTCTCACACCGGGTGTTTTGGCTCGGTTTCGGGTCCCGCAGATTAATCTGGCTCGAAAAATGCCGCAGAACGATGGGGTCTGGGGCTCTGGAGCGTTTTATTGCGAAATTGCATTTGTTTTCGGATCGTCCGATCTCAATCGAATCGGGGACGCGCGAACCGGGCCAGCGAAAACTGGGGTCAGCCAAGGCCACGTCGCGAGCCCGGGCCAGCCACAGAGTAGCATCCAAAGCTGGGTCAGCGGATGGCGGGGGGGCGGGGTCGGCTCCAGGTAGCGCGCGAAGCCGGGTCAGCTGGAGGATCTCGGAGGGGATTGACTGAACCCCGTTAGCGCTGACCCCCTGAGGAACATAATCGCGAGAACGCCGGCTGTTCGGCGTCTTCGGCCTCACAGACAAGGCTGCAAGGTTGCACCCAAACGATGTTGTACCTCTGTTCTATGCTGCTGAACATGTTTTGCTTTGCTTTTGTCGTTTTGTTTTGGTTCTGGTGTTTTGAAGATTTCCGGACAACGATGCAGCCATAACAACCATGACAAAACGAAACCAAACAACGCACCAGCGCGAATGAAAGCGCAACAAAACGCAATGCAAACCCGACCCCAACAAAGCCCGCAACAAAACACAAGGGCGCTCAAGCGAAAAGGGGAAAACATGAGGGCGCCAAATCAAAACGGCGCCGAACCAAAACTAAACAAAACAACACGGAAACGAAAGAGGAGAAGGGAAAACGGAAGGGAGGGTGGGTGAAAGCGAAGACGGACAGGGAAAGGGAGGGTAAAGGTTAAAGGGAGGGCGGGGGGACAGTAAAAATAACAAAAACTAGAAACAAAACAGAGGGCGCCGAAACAAAGAGAAGGGCGCAGAACAAAAAAAACAACTCAAGGGCGCCGAACAAAAACCAAGGGCGCCGCAAAAAGCGACGGCAACCGAAAAAAAGCGAAGGCCGCCGGAAAAAACGAAGGCCGATGAAAAAGCGAAGGGCCCAGAAAAAAAAACCAATGCGAATGGCGCCGATAAAAAAAACGAAGGTAGCCGAAAAATACACAGGGAGCCGATGAATAGCGGAGGCCAGCCAAAACAGCGAAGCCCGCCGAAAAAAAGCGAAGGCCACCGAGAAAAAACGAAGGCCGCCGAGTAAAAGCGAAAGCCGCCGAAAAATGTTAAGGCCAAACAAGAAAGCGTAGGCCGCCGAAAAAAACAAAGGCCGCCGAAAAAAACGAAGGCCGCCGAACAAAAAGCGAAGGCCGCCGAAGAAAGCCAAGGCCGCCGAAGAAGGCGAAGGCCGCCGAAAAAGCGAAGGCCGCCGACAAAAAGCGAAGGCACCTCAAAAAGCGAAGGCCGCCGAAAGAAGCGAATGCCGCCGAAAAAAACAAAGGCCGCAGAACAAAAAACGAAAGCCGCCGAACAAAAAACCAATGGCGCCGCCGAACAAACCGGAGGCTGCCGGAAAAGGTGAAGGCCGCTGAAAGCACGGAGACCGCCGAGCAAAGCGAAGGCCGCCGAATAAAAACGGAGGCCGATGGAAAAAATTGAAGGCCGCCGAAAAAAGCGACGGCCGCAGAACAAAGCGAAGGCCATCGAAAAAAGCGACGGCCGCAGAACAAAGCGAAGGCCGCCCAAAAAAAGGAAGGCGGCGGATACAAGCGAAGGCCACCGAAAAAATGCGAAGGCCACCTACACAAATCGAAAACCACAGAAAAAGTCAAGGCCGCCGGGGAAAAAGCGAAGGCAGCCAACTAAAGCGAAGGCCGCCGAAAAAGCGAAGGCCGCAGGAACAAGCGACGGCAGCCGAAACGCAGCGAAGGCCCTCGGAAAAAGAGAAGGACGCCGAACAAAAACGAAGAGCGCCGACAAGAAGCACAGGTCGCCGAACAAAGCGAAGGCCGCCGAAAAAAGCGAAGGCCGCCGAACAAAGCGAAGGCCACCGAAAAAAACAAAGGCCGCCGAACAAAGCGACAACGGCCCCCAAAAAGAGGAGGCGACCCAAAAAAAAACAAAGGCCGCCGACAAAAAGGCAAAGCCGTCGAACAAAAACGAAGGCCGCCGAAACAAAACGAAGGCCGCTCAAAAAAGCGAAATCCGCCGCGCAAAAAGCGAAGGCCGCCGAAAGAAACGAAGGCCAACGAACACAAACGAAAGCCTCCGGACAAAAAACGGCCGCCAAAAAAACGACGGCCACCGCAACAAAACAACTAAGGTCACCGGAAAAAATACGCAGGCCGCAAAGAAAAAACGAAGGCCGCCGAACAAAAACGAAGGCTGCCGAGCAAGAGCGAAGGCCGCCGAAAAAAACGAAGGCCACCAAAACAAAACGAAATCCGCCGAAAAAAACGAAGGCCGCCGAAAGAGCGAAGCCCGCCGAAAAATGCGAAGGCCGCCCAAAAAACGAAGTCCGCCGAAAAACACAGGCCGCGAAGGCCGCCGGAAAAAAGCGAAGGCATCCCAGAAAAAAGCGAAGGCAGCCCAGAAAAGCGAAGGTCGCAGGAAAAAACGAAGGCCGCCAAACAAATAACAAGTCCGCCCGACAAAAATAAATCCAGCCTAAAAAAGCGAAGGCCGCCGAAGAAAGCGAAGGCCGCAGAAGAAAGCGAAGGCCGCCGAACAAAGCGAAGGCCGCCTAAGAAAGCGAAGGCCGCCGACAACAACGAAGGCAGCCGAGAAAAAAAAACGAAGGCCACCAGAGCTCCCGTTGCCTCCCCTGAGCTCCCGCTTCCTCCCCTGAAGTTGCCAGTTTGTAGCCCAAGACACACGTATGATTGGGGGGTACATGGTGGCTGGCCCAAGGGTGACGAACGAACAACACACACCCATACCCATAGGGAGGTCGTTGGGAGGAGGACTGGCTATGGGTATGGGTGCGGGTTGTCGGACCCTGGGGAACGCTCCCGTTCGAGCGGGGACCCCCATCCGACAACACGCACCCATAGCCCTTTCCGATCCCCCTATGGGTATGGGTGTGTGTTGTTGGTTCGTCAAAAGGGCCCGATGACGGATCCTCGAGGCCGAAATCCCGGGAACACGCCGGGAGTGCAACGAACAGGTCGTGATGGATTCTGCTCTTCGGGCCAGGCCCGGAGCGAGTCCGGCACCCCCCGATCGGTCTCGGCAAGGCGCAGCTGTCCGAGGTCGAATCAAAAATGTCACAAATCGCATCGAAAATAGACGAAGATACGTCCAAATTCATGAACGCTCAGCAAGACTTGGAAAAAATGAGTACGCCCCTGTGCCTTTTTAATTCTATGCGTGCTTTGTTGAGGCTAGAAACCACCCAGGAGCCGACGGTAACGTCCGAGAGAGGCCGAAGACGAGGGAACACGCCGGGATTGCGACGAACGTGTCGTCGGAGGTCGGAGGCTCTTGCGTGCAGCCGGCGTCCGCGGTGCACGTGATCACCACGGGGCGGCGCGCCTGTGGGAATCGCTCAACCGATCCGTATCCCCACCAGCGCGGCCCGGGTCCCCCTGGCAGATTTACCCCCCTGGATGGGGATGACGGCTTTTCCCTCTGGACTTCGAGGGGCCGATCCCCAACTGGGGTGGTGGGATGGTGGGGCTCAGATACCATGGCCTGGTGGGGATAGGGAGAGCTTTACACCAATCAGAAAACTGCATAAGTAAACAAACACTTCTGGCGGTCCGCGCGGATTTCCTGGATCCGCGCTGGACATGAGTGGGCCCTGGAAACGACAGGGCTGCTTTTTTACCCGTTCCGTTTTGAAGTTCCTTTCCCGGTTTGGGCGCTGTTGGTTTGCCGGTTCCGTCGCCGTTGTCTTGCTATTAGTTTGGGCTTCGGTTCCCATTCCGGAGCAGTCTGTTTGCCGTGTCTGGTCGCCGTTTTTACTCTGCTTTCATCTTCGAAGGCATTTTTCTCGGAAGCTGTAGAACAAACAAAAACAAAAAAAACAGCTCTGCCGTTTCCGGGACCCACGAAACGCTGGACCCCCCCTACCCCCTGGCCCGCGGAGTGCGCCAGGGGCAGCGCCGGAGGCGCCGCCGGGGGGGCTCCAGCGCCGATCCAAGACGTCCGCGCGGACCGCAGAAGGCTTACAGATGCTCATGTGTGCGGCGGAGGAGGAGGATGAGGAGGAGGAGCAGGAGGAGGAGGAGGAGGAGGAAGATTAGGAGGAGGAGGAGGAGGAGGAGGAGGAGGAGGAGGAGGAGGAGGAGGAGAAGGGCGAATGTTGGGCGGCGCGGAGGCCTCCTCCTCGGCCAGGCGCCGCGCCTCCAGCTCCCAGGCGCGGCGCGAGCTCTCCTCTGCCCCGAGCATCGCCGCCCGCTCCCGCGCCTCGGCCCGCAGCCGCGCCTCGTGCTCCTGAGCGCGGCGAGAGGCCTGGTCCTCCGAGCGCATCGCCCCGCGCTCCGCCTCCTCGCAGGGGGAGGACGAGGGTGCCGATGCCGCTGCTGGTTGCGTGATAACGGTCAACCCGTGCAGTAAGGACGCGCGGTGAGGATGCCAGGGCCTCGGAGGGCCATGCCGACACTTTGCGGGCGGGGCGCGGCCAGTGAAAGCGGCCGAGGATGGGCATAAGGGGGAGGATGCAGGAGGAAGCCTGGAACGTCGCTCATCCTTACAATGCGGGTTGACTGCCATCGACCCCAGACCAAAAAGCACACACGAATGCCCATGTTAGGCGCATGTTGACAACTCTCTATCGCTATAAGGTCAAAAGCGGGCCACGACTACATCGCAGAGCGGGGGAGGCCGGGAAGGGGCATGCCGCTCCTTGACAATAACGGTGCCCCGCTTTGCAGGGTCGTGTCGTGACGACCGTGCCTTGATTTCGGGCACCGCGTTGACCGTTCAACGTCGAACGATCCCGGCGTTCCGACAGCGCGGAGCGCTCGGCGTTGCCCGCTTCTGGGCCACGGTCGGCGTTCAACCTGGAACGCCCGCGCTGGGGTCGCCGCCGCGTCGACGCGACACGAACCTGCCGCACCGATGCCGCTACCCTTGCCTCGTTTTCGCCTTCTTGGGCTTCCCGAGAGGCCTTTCGTCGTCAGGGCAGGGCTATCCTCGGAATTCTCGTCAGAACGCACCCTAGGGTGCGTTCTGACGAGAGTCCGGGGAGTCGCGGTATGGATACCTTTTTGTGTCCCTGACCTCGGCCCGGAGCTGCGCCTCTCTTTCCCATGCGCGGCGCGAGCCCTCCTCACGGGAGGGACAAAAAACAGGCCGCACAGAGCCAGTACAGAAGGACATCCTGCAAGATCACGAGACCCCCCGCCAGTCAAACTGGAGAACATTTGAGGGTACCCTTCCCCAGAATCCACAAGAACACCCGACAAACACGAAGAACATCAGGGCACCCTCCTCGAACCGGCCGCCTCGATCTTATACCTCGGTCCGACTGTACCGACAACCTCTGCGTGACACATGCGCAGTGGCGGGATGGGCCGAAGGCCACCAGACTTCCGCCTTCGCATTCAGGCCGCCCCTGCCCCTAGTCCTCGTCGCCCGTCCGCCCCTTGCGCTCCAGCTGTTCTATTCTGAGGGTCGGCGGAACCGGCCGCATGGCCTTTGCAATGCCGCTGTCGACGCCTCCCCAGACCACTCCCAGGGTGCGTTCTGACCCAGATTTCGAGCCGAATGCAGCCGCGGCGACGAGGGCGGGGCAGTGGAGTCGGCACCTCTTCCTCCTCCGATCCTCGGCGTGCTGCATCGCCGTGCGCTCACCCTCCTCGGCCTTCAGCCGCGCCTCCTTCTCCCAAGCACGGCGAGACTCCCCCTCCGCCTGGTGCATCGCCGCCCGCTCCGCTGCCCGACGGGCCTCCTCTGCCCGCAGGCGCGCCCCCTCGGCGGCACGCTGGCGCGACTCGGCGAGTGCTTTCCGCCGCGCTGCCTCCTCCGCCTCGGCCTTGAGACGTGCCGCCTCGGCCTGAGCCCTCCGCCGCGCTTCCTCCGCCTCGGCCTTGCGCCTGGCCTCTGCCGCGGCCTTACGCCGAGCTTCCTCCGCCTCGGCCTTGCGCCGCGCCTCCTCCTCCTCCTCCGCCTTGCGCTGCGCACTGCGCCGCGCCTCCTCCAGCTCGGCCTTGCGCCGCGCCTCCTCCGCCTCGGCCTTGCGCAATGCCTCCGCTACCTCGGCCTTGCGCTGCGCCTCCTCTGCCTCAGCCTCAGCCTTGCGCCTGGCCTCCTCCGCCTCGACCTTGCGCTGCGCCTCCTCTGCTTCGGCCTTGCGCTGCGCCTCCTCCGCCTCGGCTCTGCGCTGCGCGTCTTCCTCCTCCTTCTCCTTTGCTCGACGCTGCGCCTCTGCGGCCTCGGCCTTCAGATGTGCGTCCTCCTGCTCCCTCTCGGCCCTGCGCAGCGCTTCCACAGCCTGCTCCTTGCGCTGGGCCTCGGCATCGGCCCTGCGCCGCGCTTCCTCTGCCTCTGCCTTCAGGCGCGCATCTGACACCTCGGCGCCAAGGCGTGCCTCCTCCGCCTGGGCAGCCGTGCGCAGTGCCTCCTCGGCCTCGGCTCTGCGAAGCGCCATCTCCGCCTCCGGCTTCAGCCACACGTCCTCCGCCTCAACTTTGAGCCCCGCCTCCTCTTCATCAGCCTCGAACCGCGCCTCCGCGTCCACCTCCACCACCTCGTCATCCTCGGCCTCTGGCCGCGCCTCCTGCGCCTTGGTGCCGAGCAGCGCCTCTGCCTCACCCTTCGACCGCACCTCTTCCACGTCCCCCGTGGAGGGTGCCTCCCCACCCCCGGCCACGCACTGCGCTTCGCCTGACTCCTCCTCTCTTGTTGGCCGCGCCTCGCTCAGCTCAGACCTGCGCCGCGCCTCGGCCTTGCGGCGCGCCTCCTCCTCGACCTTTCCGGAAGGACGGACGCGGGCCCTGCAGGAACCGGCCCCTGGACCCCGGGGCCTTCCCCTCGCCTCCTGACGGCCCCGGGCCCCTGGTGAACCCCAGCTGGCCATCGCTCGGACGTCCATTCCCTGAGCTTTTTCGGTTTCGTGCGGGGTTTTTCGTCAAATGAGCAAGGATGCTCCTCGATGGTCCTCGCCGGAGGAACAATGCACACGTCCGGGCGATGCCAGGCCTGGTGAGCCGCAGGAGCCCGAAGACGGAGAGACGCCCTCCCAGGACCCGTTTCGGGACCCGCTTGCGCCACGGCGGACCTTCCGCCGCAGGCCCCCCACCTCGGACTTGGGCCGCACCACCTCCGCCTCGGCCCTGCGAGGCGCCCCGTGTGGCTCGGCCCTGGGCCGCGGCTCCTCTGCATCGGCCCTGATCGGGGCCTCCTCCGCAACGGCCCTGAGGCCCGCGTCCTCGGCATCGGCCCCGGGCCTCGTCCCCTGGTCTCCTGCAGCCTGCGGCTCCTCCCGCCTTCAGGGCCAGCGCGGCAACTTTTGTTGGGGGGTCGCTGCTCGCTCGCGGGGGTGCCGCAGAATGGGGCAGGGGGGAGGGGCTGCCCTCTAAGAAGCAAGAAGACGGGGGAGTCTCTCAGAAGGACTGGGGAAGCGGCTTTCTTGGAATCCCACCAGCACTTTGGGCGTGAGTGGTTTAGGGAGCCCGCTCTGTTCTCAACCCCCTTCTTCCCCTTCGGGGAGGGGTTTACCCCTCCCCCTACCCCCTCCCCCTGGGCCTGGAGAGGTCCTTCCGCGGGTCGTTGGAGGGGTCTTTTTCGACTCCTGGGAGGGCTAAAATTCGACACCCCTCACAAGGATCGTGGCCCCGACGGGGGGAGGGAGAAAAATGCTCGCCTCTTCTTTGAAGACAAAATCATTGAGTTTACTGGGGTTTTGGCCCCATTTTGGCCTTCTGCGGGGGCAGCGCTAATTAAAGCTCCCCTCTTCTTTGAAGCCAAAATCATTGATTTTACTAAGGTTTTGGCCCCAGTTTGGCCTTCTGCGGGGGCAGCGCTAATTGAAGCTCCCCTCTTCTTTGATCGATTTCCTCCAAGATGGCCCCAAGAAGCGCCCAGGAGGCACCAAGAGACCCCAAGATGGCCCCAAGATGGCCCCAAGAGGCCCCCAGGAGGCCCCCAAGAGGATCCCAAACGGCCCAAAGAGGCCCTCCCGAGGCACCCAAGACGCCGAAAAGCCCCTCAGGACGACCCTCTACTCGCCTGGCCGTCGTTTCTGGACGGGCTGGTGGGGATACGCGAAGCGTAAAGAATTCTGAGAAGCACCCCGCCCTCTTAGTATAGAAGGCCGCCCCCCCTTGCGCCGACCCCTCGTGCCCGCCCTCGGTTCTTGCGAAATGCAATGGACACTGACTCGAATCCTCACTGTCTACAGAGGGAAGGTCTGTCTCGCTCAACTGCCGTTGCTCGCCCATCAGTTGTCACAAACCCCGCGGTTCGCCAAACTGCAGATGTTCTCCATGGCGTCGACTGATTCCGCACGCTTGGCGTGAGGGCCGTGAAGAGAGGCGAGAGGCTGAACAAGCATTGAGCGTGGAGAATATTCCACTGACGTTTGCGCACTTAGACGAAGAGCCTTGTGATCTACTCAAGGGAGACCATAGCCTCCGCAGACGCGGACATGAGTGAGGGTTTGGGCGTCAAACTTGAACACAATGTCAATGAAGAGGAACCCAAAGCGAGCTGTACAAGCCTCAACGGCAACCAGAAACAGAGCGGCGGGTTCGTGGGAAGCCATTCGAAGCCAAGCGACCACAGGAAACAGTTCAGCCCACAGGACCAAATATGGGAAAGCCATAAGACAAGATGGGGAATAAGGCCATATGAAGTCTGGCGGCCACAAGAAACGCACTCCCCACGGATCCATGGGAAACCAGCCGAGCGACCACTCGGAAACATGCAGCTCTGATCACGGCGGGTGAAGGCGAAGCCATAGGCAGTCGTGCGGACCCCAGCTCAAGTGCACCCCCGCCCGCTCCGATTCTTCAAAGCACAAGTGAACCACACGCGCAAAAGCTCGTGGAAGCGCTCCGCGTACGCATAGGCCAAGTGCCCAGCAGCCTGCTGCCCGAGCGCTTGCACAGCGTGGTCAACACACACTCTCACACACACACACACACGCACACACACACACACACACACACACGGTGCGACGCCGCGATTTGGGGAATCCTTCGATTCAAGCCCGCATCCGATTTCCCTCGCCTGGGCTCCCGCAGGGCCCTCGAGGCCTGCCAGTGTGCCTGAGCTGCGCTCCCTGCGCCCGACGCCGTGCTGGTGCCGTGCGCTTGGGCGGAACCCCGTCAGCTCCCGCGTCCACGTGCTCGTGTGCGCGGCCTCCCACCGGTGAGGCACTCTCGGCTCAGCGCGCCACAGCGGCAGCCCCTGCGGCACGCTACGCTCCTGAAGGCCGACGCAGCGTGCCGCGCGGCCCGGTGGGACGTTGACGCCCAGGGGCTGGGACGTGCTTGGCGTGACGCGCCGCAGCGTGCTGGGCCTCGACGGGCCGCGCGGCGCGCCAAGCGCGCGCTCCTGACTGTACCTCCGCGCCCCTCCCCGAGACCTGCCTCAGGCTCGTGTCGTGCCGACTTCGGCGCCGGTGGGCTTGTGTCGTGCCGACTTCGGCGTCGGTCTCCGACACCGCGGGGCTGGCCGTTCCCGAAACGTCCGATCGTTCACCATCGACCGACATCCCGGGTCGCCCGCGGCGTTGGACGTTGAGCGCAGGCGGCGTGGTCGCCGCTGGTCGACACGACGCGAACCTCCCGCACTCCAAAGCGCCCCCTCGCTGCGGAGCCAGCGCCGCTCCGTCCGCAGACGGCGCCGCCGTGGGCCGCAGGTTCGCCCCCCCGGCCGCCTCGTCTCCCCCGCCAGGGGGCGCGCGTGCTGCTCCTCCGCCTCGTCCTCCCGGGGGAGGCGGAGAGATATGCCAGGAGGGCAGAGTCGGCACAGGCACAAACGAGCGTCGACTCCCAGGAAAAGTATGGGAAGGGGAAAGGGAAGACGAAACTCCAGAAGAGGAGATGGGAAGCTGGAGGAGTCATGAGATCTGTGTCCACTTATGTGGGCGTCCCAGGGCCCCTTCAGCATGTACCACCACGAGTCCTCTGCAGGCCCGCTTGTGAGAGACCGAGCCGCCCCAGACGTCCGACGTCATGCTTTTTCGCGGCTTGGCCCCCCAAGGGTCCGGACCCCACCCCGGGGACCGGCTTGTCCTACAGAGTATAGTGCTTTGACGTCCGGGGGCCCGGTGCTGGCCCCGTGGGGGCCCAAAGCTGACGAAGACCCGTCGTCGATGCTTCGCCGCAGCGCGAGGCGGTCAGGGAGCCTTTTGGGCCCAGGCTGAGGCTGCGGAGGCCCGGAGGTGGCGGGTGCGCCTCTTGCTCCCGACCTTCTCCTGCAGGGCGCCCCCTCTCCACCTCGGACGCCCTGCGGCGCCGGGAGGCGGCCTCTCCTCCTCTGCGCAGAGGGCACTTCTCCATCCCCCGCGGTGCCTGGCCAGGGCCATCCTGGGGCATCCTCGGCCTTGGCATCCAGACCTCGGACGGCATGGTGTTGTCAACTCCCGGCGTTTGGTTTCTGGACCTCGGCCTCGTGGGGCCCGCCAGCTGGGCTCCAGGGCCCTCAGGAATGGATCCTGGGCGACCGCTGCAACGACGAGCATACACTGTAAGACTCTTCCAGACGGAAGTCCGTGCCACTCGTTGCTTCGGCGTCGTGTGAGTGGCCGGTCGCTGCGAGTGGTGCAACCAGACCAGCGAATCTCAGACGCTCAGTCATACTCCTAGCTCCTGTGCCGTCGGAAAACAACTTCACCTGAGGAAGAGGAGGAGGAGGAGGAGGAGGAGGAGGAGGAGGAGGAGGAGGAGGAGGACGAGGAGGAGGAGGAGGAGGAGGAGGAGGAGGAGGAGCAGGGGGAGGTCGGGGCCTCCCTGGGGCCGCGCATTGGAGAAAAATCGCATCGTCGGATGCACAGGCCCTCCCGGCCGAGGCTCAGGACAGCCTTCCCACCACCCCCGGGAACGTCCAGCAGGGGGGCGCTTAATTTTGGATTAGGGGAGGTCGCAAACACCAAGGCGCCCGAAGGACGAGCGCGGACCGCAAGGGGACAGGGAGCGGACTGAAAGAAGAGGCGGGCCGTGCAATTCGGGGGGCGCCCCTGGAACGCTCTCGGCGAGGCGGGGCTGTCGACACGCATCCCGAGGCTGGAAAACCACCGGGAGCCGACGGAAGTGCCCGAACACTTTGAACCTCGAACCTCCAGCCTCTCCCCCCCAAAAACCACCACCCCTTGAGCGCAACCGTCAAGGACGCGAAAATCGGGACGTGCAGCCGCGTGGAACACAGCAAGGCGTACAGTTTTCCTCCGGAGCGAAGCCGGATCGGCAGGACCCGACAGGAATCGGCTGACACATCGAATCGGCAAGCGTTGGATCGGGCGAGCTCGACCTCGGCATCGCGAGGCGGCATCTCCGAATCGAACCGGCTCGAATCCGCAGGCGGAGCGACATCGAACCGAATCGAGCCGGCGGCGTCGGAGTGACCCCCTGGTCCTCCTCCTCCTCTTCCCCCTCCTCCTCCTCCTCCTCCTTCCTCCTCCTCCTCCTCCTCCTCCTCCTCCTCCTCCTCCTCCTCCTCCTCCTCCTCCTCTTTTTTCTCCTCCTCCTTTTTCTCCTCCTCCTCCTCCTCCTCCTCCTCCTCCTCCTCCTCCTCCGCCTCCTCATCCTCCTCCTCCTCTCTCCTGCCTCCTCCTGCCTCCCCCTGCCTCCCGGCCGCTCCCGACGCCCCCTGGGCCCAGGATGGCCCTGGCCGGGCGCAGCGGCGGTGCCCCGGTGCCCTCGGCGGGAGCCTGCCGCGGCGCGGCCACGAGCGGCGCCGCTCCCTGGCGCCCCGCCTTGGGGGGGGGGGGGGGGCAGGCCTCCTCGGCACGAGGGCAGCGGGCCAACGGGGAGCGGAGCCCTGGGTCCGGGGGCCCTCCCTGGGATCCGACGCCTCCCAGGGGAGAGAAGACCTGGTGGAAACGGCCCCTATGGGGGAAGGCGGGTCCTAGGAAGGTCCTGGGAGGGAAGGGCGGGCCCTGCCAGGGAAGGCGGATCCCATGAGGCCCCTGTGAAGGAAGGCGGGTCCTAGAAGGAGGGGCGGGCCCTGTGAGGGAAGGCCAGTCCTGGGTCCTGGAGCCTTCCCTGGGATCCGACGTGGCTAGAGAGGAGGGTAACATGGTGAACGCGCCCGGTTCGAACAAGCTGCGGACGAAAGCGCCAGGTGCGAAACAAACTGCGACGCCCTAACTAGAGGCCTCCTGGATGGGGTCGGAAAAGATGGGATCGGAGGATCGCGCTGTATCGCCGGTACATCGGCGATGTATCGGCGATGCATCGGCGATGCACCACCGATGCATTGTCGACGTGGGCGATGCATCGGCGACGTCGGCGTGAAGAACATCGGCCTCCGCATCGAGACGCATCGACGATGCATCAGCTTTGCGGCGCGATCCTCCGACCCCATCTACTTCGACCCCATCTAGGAGGCCTAGACTACGCTCAGGACCCCCCCCTGCAAATCTCCCCACGGGCCCTCCATGGGCCGTGGAGATCTGCAGGGGGGGCCCTCCTTCGTGGCCCTCAGGGGCCCCTGGCCCCCGGGGCCCCCGAGGGTCTGGAAGGAGCGGCACAGAACGCCTACATGCAGGGTCCATTTCGGCTCGATCGATCCGGTTCGACGTCGGATCTGGCCGACCCGGTCCGATTTGACTCCGATATTCCGAAGATCCGGTGCGGCCCGACGCTCGAATGGTGCCGTTATGAATCCGGCGCTGCCGATCCGATCCGACCTCGATTCCGCGCCCAGGCGGGCCGGTGCGCTGCACACTTCGACTCGATGAGGTCTGGCGAGGGCGGGCCGATGCTGCACACTTCGATCCGCTGCGGGCCGACACCATGCTGCATGGCCCTGGAGGTCCGGCGAAGCAGAAACGCTGCACCATCGTGAAACAATCACGGCCGGCGCCCCAGACCCACCCTACCCGTCGGTCGGAAGAAGTAGGTAGAACCACGAAGTAGTAAGGCGCTGAAAGCAAGCTGGACTTGCGCCCGCCCCCCGAATAGGAGGGCAGAAGCAAAACTGCTCAACCCTTGAAGTAGGACGGCGCCTAAAGTAGATTGGGATCTGTTGAGCAGGGACCGGCCGTCCCAGTATTCCTACAGGCCTACCACGAACTTCGCTTTGAACCCAGAATTGTTCCATAAGAGCACACAATGTTATCTTAGAACAAGCCGACGTGTCAAAACAGGCCCATCTCGGCACGACATGCCCTAAGAACATTTCTCGCGCAGACCACAACAGGCTCTTAGAACAGTCGTCTGTGGGCCGATCGGCAAGCCAGGACGCTTCGCCACTGTTCGAATCTGGGAATCCCAAGCTGCCTTCTTTCAGAGGCCAGTGTGTACCCTTCTGCGCCGCTCTGCGAATGCCCAGGGCTCAAGACCAGACGAAGACGCCTGGCTCGAAAAGGGCTGAGACTCCGGGCCCTCGGGGGACGTATCTTAGCTTGCATCCTCGGGGGACCCTGTCTGGGAATCCCAAACAACCGACTTTCAATGGCCGATGAGCATCTCTCTGCACCGTCCTTCGAGCTGCATCGGCCTCCGAGGGCCCTTGTGCCCGAGGCCAGGCGAAGACGCCTGGCTAGAGAGGGGCTGAGTCTCGGGGACCTCCTGGGGACGCATCTTCGGTTGCATCCTCGGGGGGCCTTGTCTGTCCCGTCGCCACCCTGTCCGCGTCGCATCTATCCATGTCGAATCCGTGCCGGGCTCGTCGGATCTGTGCCGAACCTGTGCCGCATCCGCGCCGAGTCCACGCCCAGTCCGCGTCGAGTGCGCATCGAGCCCGCGTCGGGCACGAGAGAAGACGCCGGCCCTGGTGGACGGGCGAGGCCCCCCGAAGGTGCAACGCAACCCGCCTGCTCGGGCCCCCCCCTCTCCTCTCGGGAACGTCGAGAAGGTCTGGGTCGAGAAGGGTGGTTTCGACGGAAGTCGGGGCGCCTCAGGTTCAGTTGTGGAGCATCAGGTCAGGGTTGGGGGCCTAGGATTGGACGAAAAACAAGAAACGGTCCAAACATGTGCAAGACTTGCACAACAAAATCCTCAAGCAGTGACATTTCTGGACTGTCTTGGAACATTCCTCCTGTGGAGGGACACGCCCGACTCGAGACCAGCGAGACCAGCCTCGTCCAGCGAAGCCTTCTGGCAACCTCCGACCCTTCGCGGTGGCCTCCGCCGCCCCCCGCCGCTCTGCCGGCCACCGGCGGCGCGGCCGGTTTCGAGTCGGGCCGGTCTCCCTACAGGTGACTGTTGGACGACAAATTCTCGGGAGCGGCCAAGAGGGGGGTGTCCAAGAGGGGGGGGTGCAAATCATGACCGGCGGGCCGGGGACGTAATGAAACAAGAAGGGGCGCCATGAAATCAGGGGAACTATCATGACCCCCGCCATGATATCCACCCCCCCCTAGTCATCACCCCCCTCTTTTCCGCCCCCGAAATTTAAAATGGTCAACACATGCTCCAACATATAATCAAGCACAGTCAACAAGTGGTCCCCAGACTATTGTTTGGCTATCTCTGGATTCCCCCCTTGTGGAGGGACAGGCCCGACTTAAGACTGGTTCCATCCGTGGCCCCAGATGCCCCGACCGCCTTCCCCTCGGGCGGGTGGTAACGTTGAGGCCGGCCATCCCAGCATTCCTAAAGGCCTACCACGATGTTGCTCCCATCCTATACTGAAGGACCACGCCCCATACAACAATATTTCGAGCACCCCGGAGAGTATCGAAACAGTGTCGAACGAATATCGCCTCCCAGAGCCCGACGCGAGAAAACCCTCCAGTGTCGGTACTTTCTTGGTGCTCGAAAATATTTCGGGTGATTCGGGCTGCAGTAGGTTGGAATATCATAAGCCTGCCACGAAATATTGTTCGTAGAACCCCAATATGCTCGAATCACAAAAGCAACGCTCCTGGACCATCCGCCCGATCTATGACAACAAAACAGTCTCAGGCAACGCCTATCATGTTCCGAGAACATGTCGCGCAGAGCACAACAGGTTCTTACAACCTTACTGGGCGGGTCGATAGGCAAGCCAGCAAGCTTCGCTACTGCTTGAGGTCGGGGAAGCCTCGCGACGTTGACGCCTGCGGACCCCGAAATGTGTATCAGCGTGCCGCGCCGGAGGGTGGTGGCCAGAGCTGGCGGAGCGACGCGCCAAGCCAGAGCTCCTCACCGTACAAGGGGATCCGCCCCCCTCGGGGCCCCCATCCTCCGCTTGGCGGCGCGCACAAATAGGGTGGGGGGCTTAGTGGGCCCTGGAAACGACAGGGCCGTTTTTTTGCCGGTTCCGTTTTTTCGTTTTTGTGTCGGTTCCGACGCGGTTTTTTTACCGGTTCCGTCGCCGATGTTTTACCGGTTCTGGCTCCGGTTCCAAGCCTGAAGCCGTTTTTTGCCGTTTCCGGTCGCCTTTTTTTTGCCGCTTCCATTTTCAAGGGACACCTTTTCGGAAACGGTGAAAAAACGGACCTGCCGTTTCCGGGGCCCACTGAAGTGGGGGGTGGGGGGGAGCGGGGAAGGCTTCTTCGGAGGATGCTGTGTCTCAGAAGGCGCTGAGAAGGCAGGGGTGCTTCTGAGAGGCCCTCCCCCGTCACCCACCGTTCATCCTTGAGATACAGGCGTTGCCCTGTTGTCTCACAACGGACGCTTTCGCCCCGCTTCGGACCCAGGACCCTCGCGGGATCGGGAGCGGCCAAGAGGGGGGTGTCCAAGAGGGGGCGGGTGCAAATCATGACCGGCGGCATGTGCGCGGCCCAGCGGGGGGGCCAGGGACGCAATGGAATAAGAAGAGGCGCCATGAAATCTGGGGAAATATCATCGCCCACGCTATGGTATCCAACCCCCCCGAGTCATCACCCCCCTCTTTGCCGCCCCCGACGGGACACCACAGAATGATGGGATCCGGGGCTCCAGTCGCGATCTTCTGCGATGCTGCAGCTGCTCCGCGGCGTCGGACCTCAGGCCCCCCCTGTGCGCGGCTGACCCGTGGCGACCTCCGCCGCCCCTCCTCCTCCTCCTCCTCCTACTCCTCCTCCTCCTCCTCCTCAAGATCCTCTTCCACCTCCTCGAGATCCTCCTCCTCCTCTTCCTCCTCTTCGAGATCCTCCTCCTCCTCCTCCTCCTACTCCTCCTCCTACTCCTCCTCCTCCTCCTCCTCCTCCTCAAGATCCTCTTCCTCCTCCTCGAGATCCTCCTCCCCTCCTCCTCCTCCTCCTCCTCCCTCCTCCTCCTCCTCCTCCTCCTCTCCTCCTCCTCCCCCTCCTCCTCGAGATCCTCCTCTCCTCCTCCTCCTCCTCCTCCTCCCCTCCGCCTCCTCCTCTCCTCCTCCTCCTCCTCCTCCTCCTCCTCCTCCTCCTCCTCCTCCTCCTCCTCCTCCTCCTCCTCCTCCTCCCCATCTGCGTGTGCCTGCTCCGTGGCGACCTCCGCCGCCCCCCGCTGCTCCGCCGCGCGCCCAGCGCCGCCCTCGCCCGCCGCGGCCCCGTGGCCCGCGAGCCGCGCGAACTTCCGGCGCGCGCCCTCGGGGGCGTCCTCGGCAGGGGGGCCCGCCAGAGGGAGCCCCGAGCGCGGTCGGCTGCAGGAGGAGGAGGAGGAGGAGGAAGAGGAGGAGGAAGAGGAGAAGGAGGAGGACAGGAGGAGGAGGAGGAGGACGAGGAGGAGGAGGAGGAGGAGGAGGAGGAGGAGGAGGAGGAGAGTGGGCTGCACGCTAAGAGCGACCCCGGGCAAACGTGGCCATCGGTGCGCGGACCGAAGGAGCGCAAGTCGGCGGTGGACAGACCTCCATTTAGTAAAACCCCCCCCTCAGCGAGAACGGCCCGGGACCGAGACCGACGGACCGGGACCCGCAAAATTGACGGCCGCGGCGCCCTCTCGCGAACCAGAAACGGCCAATTCCTGAATCGACGTGTCAGGGTTGGAGGTCTTTCCACCTCCGAGCAAAGTGGCCAAATCCAAGCGCGAGAGCAGCCGCAGTCGCACCGCGCTCAGCGATCGGGGGGGGCCCGAGGAGACCGCACCAGAGGTCAGGCCGGCGAGGGGTCACTCTTGCGTGTCGTTGACGCGGTGAGGGCATCGGGAAGCCCGCAGATCCAGTCATTGCACTTTTTTGCAGCGGGACCCTCACATGTCGACCTGGCTTGGGGAATGACGCAGGAAGATGGGGTCCAGGGTTCTGGTCGTGGTTATTCACGATGTTGATTTGTGTTGACGAGTCGGATCCCAGGGAAGAAACAAATCCAGGGTTTGGAAGCCGGTGGAACTCCAATGAGGGCTTGGCCATGGGTACTACCGCCATCCTCACCAAAAAAAAATTCCCCCAGGGTCTGAAGCCTCCCGGACACATTCTTTAACGAACGCCCCCACTGTGGATGGGGTCAGAGGATCGAGCCGCATCGCCGATGCATCGGCGATGCGGCGCGATCCTCCGACTCCATCTGCTCGGACCCAACTGGGCGGCCCAGCGCCCACGCACCTAGGGCGGAGGAGGAGGAGGAGGAGGAGGAGGAGGAGGAGGAGGAGGAGGAGGAGGAGGAGGAGGAGGAGGAGGAGGAGGAGGAGGAGGAGAGGCCCGGAGTCCTGGCCCAGGCTCGGCGCCGCGCCCTGGCAGAGGGCGTGCGGCGGGTGGGCGCCCGAGATCCGGCGGCGTCTCCGTATTTTCGGGTCGATCGCTCTCGCCCGATGCCAGAACCTTCACAGATCGATGGGGCCACAGGACACACAAATAAATACACACAAATAGACAAATTCGCCGGCCCAACGGGCCAGGGCGTGCTAAGATCTCCGCTACCTGGTTAACAGTATTTCTAGTTCGCGCGCGCGCGGGGCGGCCCCTGGGGGTCCCCGGACGAAAAGTACCCCGGCAAGGTCCCGGCAAGGTCGGGTCAGAGATGCCGGAGTTCTGTTTCGGAGTCCAAGAGGGCTCCAGATCGGTCCAAGAGGGCCCCGAGAAGCTTTCTAGACGGTCCAAGAGAGGCCCGAGACGGCCAAAGATCGCCCGAAGACGCCCCAGATGGCCCCAAGACAGCCCAAGAGGCCTCCAAGACGCTCCAAGGGCCTTCCAAGAGGCCTCCGAAGAGGGCCCCAAGTTGCCAAAATCGTTGATTTTCATTGTTTTTTTCGATGTGTTTTTGCGTTCTGGCCTTTTCGCTTCCGGACGCTCCAAGAGGGCCCAAGAGGCCTTCAAGACTGCTCCAAGACGGCCCACGAGGCTCCCAAGACGGCCCCGGAGCGGCCCAAGAGCGCCCCCCAGACGGCCCAAGTGCTGCCCAAGGCGGATCAAGAGGCCCCAAGACGGGCCCAAGAGGGGCTCAAGAAGGGAACCGAGAACTGAAAAATCGAGCCCTCCGCCCCAGAAGGCGCCCAGGACCGCGAAAGAGGCCCCAAGAGACTCTCCAAGACACCCCCAAGACGCCCCAATAAGCTCCCGTGAGGCCCCAAGAGAACCAGCAACGTCAGGCCCCAGGCCCCAAGAGGACCAACAAATACCGCCAAGAGCCCGCCGAAAGCCCCCCAAGAGACCGTCACGAGAGCTCAGGAGGCCCCCTGGAGGCCTCCCGAGTTCTCCAAGAGGACTAAAAAGAAGCGCCAAGAGGCCCCAAACGGCCCCACCGAGGCTCCAAGAGGCCACGAACGCGCAAGCAAACGCCTGCGATGGCACAGTACGGGCCAGCGGAATGAGCGAAGCGATTAAATAAATACACACAAATAGAAATATTCCTGATAGTTTCCCATACTTTCTGGGTTTTTGTCTTTCCCCCCCCTCCCATATTTTCCCATATTTTCCTGGGGATCGACGATTAATTGTGTCTGTGTGTTGTTTTCCTCCTGAAGAAGCTTCACAGATCGATGCGGCTCGAAACGTGGCTCGGCAACGAGCGACATTCCTAGTAAGGACGGGCGGTAAGGGCGCACGGGCCTTGGACGCCGAAATTGGCACTTCTTGCGCGGCGAACTGCCAACACCCTGAACGGCTGGCCAGTGAAAACCACGAAGGACTGGCCGCAGAGGCAAGGACGCAAGGAGACCCCAAGGCCATCCGTGAGTCGTTACAATGAGAAATGACTGTACACGCAAGAGTAACCCTAGGCAATAATGACATTTGGTGCGCGGCATCAGGGGGCGCGCGGGGGGGGGGCTGAACCCAAGCGCGCCAGCCGCTGCTATCGCATCGCATTCAGCGATCGGAAGACCTCAATGGGCCCGCACCAGAGGTCACTCCAGCAAACGGTCGCTCTTACGTCTAGCCGAACGGCGCAAAAAGATTGCCTCTGGAATTCCAGCCGTGATTTGTCATGAGATTTTCATTTTGGCGCGCCGGCGGATCTCAGGGGCGGCACGGCGCAACGATCTCAGATCCACCATGGACTCTCAGATCTCCGACGACAAGATTTGCGCATCCTGGATCGTTCGGCCTCTCGGGGCCAGCAATCCACAAACGGGCCGAGGACGGAAAATTGCCCCTACGGGAAAAGGACAGGATTGAGATGACCACATCGGGTGTCTGGGACTATACATGTGAATGCAGTGTGTGTATACATACAGTGATACAGATACAGAGAGAGAGAGAGAGAGACACTGCCTGCGTTTTGTTTCGGTATCAGGCTCTGGCGACCACCGATCTTGCTGTGAGCGTCGCGCGGGCAAGCTCGGTCCCTAGACAAACGCTCGAACACGGGAAATAGCAGCAGCGAAAACAACATAATGAAAGAAGGATTGAGCAATGGGATGCATTTCGCTAGACTGAATGAAGGCGTGCGAGAGAAAGAAAGAGAGGGAGGGAGAGAGAGAGAGAGGATGTCCCTCCTATCTTCAAGAGCGTGCGCCACGGCGCGCGTCGACCCAGTCTCGGGCCAGCACCTTGTTCAACATTGAGCGGAACTGGGCTCCGGGATTGGAGGCCTCGTGAGAGAGAGAGAGAGAGACAGAGAGAGAGAGAGAGAAAGAAAGAAAGAGAGAGAGAGAGAGAGAGAGAAAGAGATAAAAGGAAACCCTCCACACGAGGCCGACTGGATGCCGCGTTCCTCTCTAGCGCCGTGTCCCCAGCGCCAATCAGGCAACGCGAGGGTGGTGGAGGTTCCTTGCTAGTGGAAGGAGAGGGGGATGGGGTCACCTGCGCGGGCCTGGACCATCAGCGCACAGGCCGGCTGACCTCTCGCACTTCGTTACAGCGGGGCCTCGGCACGGACCGCGGATGCGTGTGTGTGTGTGTGTGTGTGTGTGTGTGTGTGTGTGTGTGTGTGTGTGTGTGTGTGTGTGTGTGTGTGTGTGTGTGTGTGTGTGTGTGTGTGTGTGTGTGTGTGGGGGGGGGGGGAGCGGTGCCCTTGGCATTGGGACGGGCACCTCTGGCACGCCAGATCGCACCGCTTGGAGTCATTCCCGCGGCTCCTGAAACTGCGCTCTGGACTGCAGTCGAGGCGCTGACCTGAGGAACCCGAGATAGGGGACGAGACCCCTTTTCTCCAGAAGTTGAACTTCGATTCCCCTTCGAAAACCTGGGGAAAACGCGGGGCAAGCTGTGAAACAATTAAGGAGCGCGGAGCCCCTACCCCACGAGAAAGAGTTCCTTCTTTCAGCGCCCCGGCTGCAGGGCACTCTTCCCTGAGCTGAACACCGTGAACGGCACTTCGCAGGCATTCATGATCATCCGAATGCTCGAAGCCTCCCGAGCGCGGGGCCCATTCGGCACCCGATGCGACCTGGGGGCTTTTTTCAATGGATGGCGGGCCCCCTGGCCCCCGGGCAGGCCCGCCGAGCCCCCGCGGGCGAAAAAAAAGCCGCGCGCCGTCGGAAGACGCGCGCCCGAGGAACTTCGTTATCGGGTCCGTGGAACGCGAGCAATAGTTTTATCCACATCCAGTGAGTCTTGGCGTTTTGGGCGACCTCCCCCAGAAGCTGGAGGCGCACTGTATATGGATAAACAGCTGGCCCCCAAAGGCTCGAATTTTATTCATATCCAGTGCGACTCGGCCTTGCGGCACCACTTCCCAAACATTCCAAGACGCTCTGGATATGGATATAAGTATTGCCCGCATGGAACAACACAATCACATAATTTGCGTCTGCGTCGGGAAACCCGCCGCCGAACCTTCCAAGGGGCAACGTCCATGGGCAGCGCGGCATTCACCGCCCTCGTAGGCCCCTGGGAGCTGCTCGCGGGGCGCGCCCGAGAGCATGACCTCGTCGGCGGAGAGCCCGTGGCGCGCGTCTGTCGCTGGCCAACGCATTCGAGACCCGGGCCTGGACCTCCTCGCGGAGGCCTTGCGCGGGGGGCCCCGCCTCGGGGCCCGCGACTGCCCGAGCCCCTCGTAGCTCCGCGCGGGAGATGGCCAACGACGACGCGCGGGCAGGCGAGGTCGAGCGGGCGGGCGGCGTCGGGGGACAGCAGTCGGGAGCCATCGCCTTGCGTGGCGCCTTCACGTGGCTGGTGAAGGCCGGCTTGAGCGCCGACGCCGCGCGCGCGCCCTATTCGTCGAGCCCCAACTCGCGCCCCCAGCAGGCTTTGCCATGGAGGAAAGCAGCGTGCCCCATGTCCTTGGACCCGAGCTTCTTGCGGACGTTGTCGATCTCCCGGTCCGAACGGCAACGGTCGCGGCCCCTGCTGCCTCCCCGACGGTCGCGGCCACGGTCGCGGTCTCGATCGCGATCGCGGCCCGAGCTGGGGCCCCGACGCCCCCGCCCCTCGCACCCCTCGCGGTCGTCGCGCACTCGCCCCGCCCCGCTGTTCATCGCGGTCGCGGCTGTCGCTGCGGCCGCGGTCTCGGTCGCGATCTTGGCCGCAGTGCTCGCCGTGCCCGCGGATGCCGCTCCAGGGCCGCTTGCCCCGCCAGCGATCGTAGCCGTTGCCCGAACTCGCCATATGCGACGTCGCCGAACTCGCCGGCAATCGTAGCCGAATGCGACGTCGCCGAACTCGCCAGACTGCCGGGGCCCTTCGAGCAGAAATGCTCCACGATGCGGCGCGTGCTGCTGCCAGGGCGAGGCGCCAGGCATCACTCAGGAGAAACAGTTCCAAAGCAAGTTCAAGCGTTCAGCCCTTCGCGGCCCCGCGGGCAGATGAAGAAATCGTGCCCGAGCTAATCGCCGATAAAGCCAGCCCAGAAAACGCCCAATCGGAGGGCCCCGCATCTCATGCACGATACCCACTCAGGACGCCAGGGAGATCCAGGAGAAGCCAACCAATGTTTTCATGGCTTCCAAACACCGAAACCATGAACCATCCAGGCGGGGCTGATCCTGTCCAGGACCTGGTCTTGGGGGAGCGGGCATGCCTTGACTAAGGTCGCGTCATCTCCGAGCCCTCGCACAATTTCTGAGGCGATCTCTGACCGCGCTTTACATGGTGCCCCCGCAATGCACTGCTCAAGTGCCTGGCCAACGTCTGCTACACACATAGCTTGGCCATGTCCCGGGCGCGTCGCCCACGCTGCGATGCTCGCCATTGCGGTCGGGAGCGACGAAGACGACGAATGTCCTCCGCAGCCTGGTCAATTTAAAACCACGGAACTGAGAGCACCCCTCGATAGTTGGCCATGAACTGCTCCACCAGTAAAGGCACGGGGCCCAGAAACTTGTAAATAATTAGTGGCCCAACGAGGGCAACTGCGAAACAAGCTTTACGGCGAGCGCGTTCACCCCGCGGAAAGACGCACGGCGGCTTCGCGTCTGCTGTCAGCGGTTGGAGGAGCCGCGGCGCGCGCGGCAAAGATAGATGCGCGGCCACCGCGCGGCCGCGTCGCGCGGGGAGATATCCGGGCGGAGGGTCCGGTCCGGGTTCGACGTGGCCAGCTGCTATAAGTGCCTCGCCATGTCGCGCTCGTCGCACGCCCGCGCCTTGTCGCGCGCAGCATCATCCGCAGCGATGACGCACTCGCGGTATTCGCCCATGCTACTCGCCATGCCCTGCTCCGCAGACTGCCGCTCCACCGGGGCCCCGGGCGGCGCGATCTCCTCGCGGGCGAGCCATTCGCTGGGGCGCCGGAAGCCTCGACGAAGAACCAGCTGATGTATGCGGGCTCTGGTGATCCATCAGCCGATCAACTCTCGCGCCTGTCGCAAAGCCCGATTGGGGCGAGGCCGCGCTGGTAGACGACGCGGGCCTCTCGGGCGTCGGAGGCGCCTCGGGGCCGATGGCGGCCGCTCGGGAGGGCGAGGCAACGCTTGCGAGGCGCAGTCAGCGCAGTGGCGGCTCGCCGACACGCGGCCCTTCCAGCGAAGGGTCTCGGCATAGACTGCTCGGGGGGGCTGTGCGTAGATGTCCCCGGCCGGGGCGAACTTCATCGCGCGCGGCGTTGGCGCGACGGCTGAGCTCGCCCGCCTGCGGTGCTCGACCTGCTGGAAGACTGCTGGTAGAAGTGAAGGAGGTCGGCGTGCGCCGGGCAAACGAAGTCGGCGATTACGTAAATCAATGCGACGCACGGCCGCGCGCTGGCGATGAAAAGGATCTAAGACACAAGCTGGCCAATTAAGCTGCTAGATGGACGTGTGAGCTCCAACCTCCAAGCGACCCCAGTAGACGAGCACGGCGACATGCTGCAACTTTGCCGCGAGGAGCGCCAGTAGCACGCCTGATCCCCTGCCTTCGAACCAACGTGGACCAGCTTCTCCTGTGAGGAAATGATGCTCGCTGGTCTACCAAGATATGTAGCAGAGACGCCGCGACCAAACTCGCGCGGGCGCGCGGGGTACGTTCACAGGCTGCCAAGGGGAAATGTCGCCGTCCAAGCTGGTGCAGTGATGAGAGTCCGCGGCCTACGTCTCCACGACGGCGGGCGACACCGTTGGGCTCGTGACACCGTCCTGTCCCACGTCTCCTGCTGATGGCCTCGGACTCCGTGGTGTCACGCCGGTTGCGCTTCGGACGGCACCGCCCGATGGCCATTGCCTCGCAGTGAAAACTGGCACGCTCTGTCCTGAGAAATAAATTCTCGTAGGAAGACGGGGGATAGGGAGCCCACGAAAGACGCGCGCGCCCAGCTCTGTACACGAGCGCGGCCCCTCGATCCACGAGACCAGCCGCGTGCTACGAACATTCGCGCAAGGCGAACTCTCGAAACCGGCATGGGCTCCTGTACGTGTGCATCCTCCTTCCGCTCCCGAGGGGGAGCCCCGGGCTGCGCCGCGCAGGACCCGGCAGCGTGGGCGACGTCCCGGACCCCCTGCGGGACGAAGGGCGGCATGGGCGTGCTCCGCCACCCCGCCGACCGAATAGCCCTGGCAGGGCCCTTTCGCGGAAGAGGGCCTGCCCCACGCGCGGGGCCCCCCGGGGCGTGGACCTCCGCTCGAATTCTGGTCCGAGGCGGGCCCAGCGAGGCAGGCGAAGAGCTGGAGCAGGCAGGGGTGCCCCCAATCGCTCGGAGCTGCTCGTGGGCCGGGCGCCGCCATTGAAGGGGAACTGGGACACACGGATAAATACACACGAATAAAGATATCCCCCATATTTCCCCATGTTTTCTGGGTGTTTGTCTTCCCCCCCACTTCCCATATTTTCCAATATGTTCTGGGAATCGCCGATGAATTGTGTCTGTGTGTTTTTTCCCCTCCTGAGTCATGGTGAACACCCGGCGGGTCCCTTCTGGGGCCCGCCGCTGCGCCTGCGCTCCCCGCAGGCGCAGAACCGCTCGGGAGAGCAGGGGTGAGACTGAGGGTGCTCCACAGGTGCGCCCCGCGAAGTGGGCGAAACTCAAGCCGACGTGGACCTGCAACAAGCTGCAACACGCTCGAGCAGAGACATCATAGACCAATCAGCCAAGGAATCACCCCGCAGGACCACACCGACTGACGCAGTCGGTTTGTGGTTTCTTCCTGAAACGCGTGTGTTGGCTGAAATCATGTATCCTGAATGATGGCATATAGAAAACTGTGGTCCTTTACATGTCTGATCGGGAGCGGCCAGCGGACCAGGAGGCTCTCCTTAGCCTCCTCGGGATATACGAGACGGACGACACACGATCTTCCGAGGACGTCGACCAGATCAGAGCGCTCGAGCTCTCCTCGCCGTCCATCATCGCCACGTCCCTGAGCTCCTTTTGCGGTGCACTATGAGCTCGGAGTGCTGGCGTCTCGTAGGCCATGAGCATATCGCCGTGTTCGGCTGCCTCGGTCAGCTGGCGTAGTTGGTGCATGATTTCGTTCAAAACTTCGCAGTAGAACTTTGACGCCCGATGCAATCGAGGTAGCCATCTCGCATGTGGCCCAAGATACTGGCGGAGCCGTCTGAAACCCCAGTCCTGCAGGAGATATCCCCAGAGATATGACATTCCAGCTTTTCGGTAAGAGACAGGAAACGTAGTATCACTTCTTCTAGTATACATCTATCTATATCTAAAGAGAGAGAGAGAGAGAGAGAGAGAGAACAACACAACAACACTTTGAATACTATGGAAAGAAAGCGCCCCGTCATGACAGAGTCACTGTCTGCGTTCTGTTTCGGCATCAAGCGCTGGCGACAACCGATGTTGCTGTGAGCGTCGCGTGAGCAAGCTCGGTCCCTGGACAAACGCTCGTGCACGGGAAGCAACAACAACACAGCATGAGAGAGGAATCGAGCAATGGGATGCAACTTGTTCGATGAACGAGGGCGGGCGAGAGAAAGAGAGAAACATAATCTAGAAAACAAGCATACAGCAGAGGAGCCAACCTCATACTAGGCGCCCTATACGAGCGAAGCCCTCTAGCAGACGCGACTGGGGTCGGCGATCGAGCAGCGCACGGCTGCTGCTCAAGAGAAGGCCCGAACGCCAGTGCTGAGCGTCGCGGCGAGAGGGAGGGAGGGGAGGACAGAAGGGTACGGAAGGATGGGAGGGGGAACGAAAATCAGGAGAAGGACCCCCGTCTGCCATTTACTCGCAGTGGTCGTGGCGGCCTGATCGCCCGTACCACGCGATGGATCGGAAGAAGCGCGACCAGTGATGATGACAACGATACCCACCACGACTAAGACGGCGACGTCGCTCGATGACCCAGGCGACCACGACGGCGGCGGCGCGAGGCGCCACGGAAGCCTCGACCCCCTCCCTCGGGCAGATCGCTCCTCGATCCGTCGAAGATCGATCGACGCCGGCGGCGGCGGCGACGACGCGCCTGCGCGGCCCCGGGAACGGCCTCCACCGAGCGCCGCTTCTGCATGCGGGTCATGATCCGGGCCGCCAGGCTGCCCCCGAGCACGGGATCGCCCGCTGCCCAGGCGCCCTCGGAGCAGTGCTGCCCCGCCTCCGCGGCCTCGCCGCCTGGGGACAGGCAGGGCGCCCCCCAAATGCGCTCCTCCTCCTGCTCCTCTTGCTCCTCCTGCTCCTCCTCCTCCTCCCTCCTCCCTCCTCCCTCCTCCCCCTCCCTCCTCCTCCTCCTCCCTCCTCCTCCTCCTCCTCCTCCTCCTCCTCCTCCTCCTCCTCCTCCTCCTCTCCTCCTCCTCCTCCTCCTCCTCCTCCTCCTCTCTCCTCCTCCTCCTCCTCCTCCTCCTCCTCCTCCTCCTCCTCCTCCTCCTCCTCCTCAATGCCCCGAATCCCCAGGGCGCTCCCCAAAGCGGGTCGTGTCCCATGGGATTCGTTGGGGGCGGTGGGTGCAGAGATCCGCCTCGCCCGCGCGGGCGAGGCAGACCTCCAGATCCACCGCGCCTGGAGGTGCCGGGGCACGACTGCGGAGCGACGGATGCGGACACGGCCCTGCGGTGGGCACCGTCACCGGCGCGGGCCTCCGAAGTTGAAGGTCGCTTGGGGGGCAGCGTTGTTTCCAGGGCCAGATCCCAATACGCTCAGCCGGCGCGCTTGGTCCGTCAATAACAATCCTTACGACACCCGTTCGCGACAAGTTCGGACCGTAGGTTTGCTCTTACCAACGATTGGGCTGCTAAGGTTTGCTCTTACGCTACGAGCATTATCTCCTCCTCCGTCGCCCCAGAAACACAGATCGCGTTCGCTGCCCCTCAGCGAGCTGAAACTCCGAAGGATCTTTTTGCGCGTCGCTTTCGATCCGGCGCGAGCTTCCCACAGCTCAGTGCCGCCAGTGTCGGCCTCGCTGGCGCTGCTTTGGGGCCCTGGAGCCATCGTGATCGGATCGGGGGGCGAAAGGCAGCCCTTCCAGGATTCCAAGAGAGCTTGAGGAGGCCGCGGACTGCACAGATCACATCGTGGCAGGTCTGGGACGACGGAGCCTCCGCAAGCCCGCTTCTCACCGGGATCCACAGCCAGGTCTGGCCAGTGGCGGATATCCACCTAATTAAATCTGGGTCCACATCGGGACCTGCTCCAGACGTCTGGGCGGCTTGAGTAGATCGGGAGCTGAGGCTTTCTGCCCTGATGTTCGCACGGATTCCAAGCCGTGGATTGTCGTCTATGGGCTATGCTGGCCCCGGCAGTGTTTCCGGAGACTCGAACACCAAACAAATCTGACGCTCCGCTTGTTCTAGGACCTCCCAGCAGAAGTACGCGGAAGTGCGAAGAAGGGCAATAGTGAAGGGGCCCTGGGACACACAAATAAATACACACAAATAACAAGATTCCCCATATTCCCATGTTTTTTTCTGGGTGTGTGTCTTCCCGCCCAATTCCCATATTTTCCCTTAGGAATCGACGACTAATTGTGTCTGTGTTTTTCCCCTCCCGCAAGAGTGACCTTTGGTGCGCGGCCTGCGACGGCAGCGGCCCGCGTGCTTGGTGGGTTTGGCCCCCTCGGCGCCACCCGAGAGCCGCGCCCCAACAGGCCGCTCCCGAGAAGGGTCACTCTCACGCCCAGCCGACGGCTGGGAGGGCGGACGGCTCCCATGCACCGCACCTAGGCTTGGACTCAATTCGGGCCCCGCTCGGACAGTCAAAAAATACTCCAAAGATAGTCGCCAGACTATGTTTCGACTATGTCTGCATATTCCTCCTGCAGAGGGACAAGCCTGACTTAACGGTGCGGTGCATCTGCTATGTTGCTCGGCACCGTGCGTGGCTGTTTCAGTTCTGAGGGCCGGATAAGCAGTGCACTGCACCACTCCTGGGCCGACGGATCGACGCCGCCTCGGGAGGCGCCCCACCGCGGCGCGGTGCACACGGGCGCGGAACAGGGCCCTTTTGGAGTACTACGGCGTTCCCAAACGCACTCTGCGGCATTTCTCAAGCCAAGTGCATCTGTGAGGCGCGGCGAACACGCCTGGCGTGAGACAACTGCGACGCTGGAGTAAAGTCGACGTCTTCGCTTTCCGGGGCGTCTGGGCAGCCCTCAGGAGTCCCGACCATTTCCCCAGGGGCAGCTCACCATCTCGAGCAACTTCTCGCGGTCCTGGGCTTCACCAAGGGCCCGCAGAGATTCACACGGCGACGAACGGCTGCGTTGAATTGCTCTCCAATTGCGTTGCAGGTCCAGGGGTCGGAAGAGTTCGGTGGCAACTTATGGAAGCCTCCCGTACCATCGTGTTGGCTCTTGCTAGTCGACGCTGGTCGACGCTAGTCGACGCTAAATGGACGCTAATCGACGCTAGCCGACGCTAAACCGGCGCTATCGTATCGACTCCCAGACGCTAGTCAACGCCAGTCGACGCTAAAGACGGAATTGCGAGGGTATACAAGGTACGTTGGAGGTCTGGGGGTCGGCAGGGGGCAAATTAAAACAGCGGCGGCTGCCCCGCCCAGCCCAACTCCGCTCACCATTGGGCGCTGGGTCCCTCCCGGGAGCCACCCTGGGCCGCTCTGCGGAGCAGACCTGGTCGCGGCGGCGAGAAGCCCCCGATGAGCAACCAACAAAAAGGATCCCCAACCCTTTGGGAGGGGACCTAAGTTAGGAGGACCAAAAACATTAGGGATAAGGGGTATTCTTCTGCAAATGTATCGAACCAAACCGCGCAGATGTCTTATCCCCAATGCAAAGTCGGAAACCTCAGTGAGGCCACGTCTTCATCGTGTTCTCAGGGCTAGGGCTTTTGTTGTCGATGACCCGCGTGGCCAGAACAAGGACGCGAAGCGCCGAGGAGGGCCACCGCTGTCTCGTCCGAAGCTCCTCCTCGCAGGGGGGTGAGGGGGGCAACGCTAGGGGGGACCAGCTCAGGAGGTTACGCGTTCGATCATGGACCCCTCGCCACACATCTTAGCCTCTGAAGACCGCCGAAAGACCACCGAAAACTGCCAGCAAGCGCGCGCCCCGCCGCGGGCGCTGGGGCCCGACACGGTCTTCAATGGTCTTCCGGCGGTCCTCGGCGGTCTTTCGGCTGTCTTCGGTCTGGGCGGCGGCCCGACATGGTCTTCGGCGGTCTTCCGCTCCCATCGGAGTCGAAGCCGGATATTTCGCATTAACAAGGGGTCCATGCTCGAAAACGTAAAGGAGGGGAACCATCGAACGTGAAACAGCGCGACATACCGCCGACAGATCGGCGACAGGCCCCCGATAGCGAATCCGAGCGGTTCTGGGCGGGCCTGGCCCGCGGCCCCCCATTGGCGGTGAGTGGGCGATTGGGGGCCGATGCGTCCACTCCCCTGAGCCGACTCCCCCCTCGCGCTGCCCTGCTTTTGTTCTCGGGCCAGAACCGAGCTGTCCAGCGGCCGCTTGGAACGACTCCGGCACCCTCCGAATGCTCTCGACGAGGCGCAGCTGCAGGATAGCATCCCGAGGCTGGGAAGGCGCCGAGAACAAAAGAAAGAGGCCTGGCGAAAGACCCAACCCTATGCTGTTGCGGGCGCCGCAGAGGTGAGTATCGACTTCGGTGGCGCTCCGTGTGGGACGATGATGATGATGAAGATGAAGATGATGATGATCGGGATGATGATGATGATGATGATGATGATGATGATGATGATGATGATGATGATGATGATGATGATGATGATGATGATGATGATGATGATGATGATGATGATGATGATGATGATGATGATGATGATGATGATGATGATGATGATGATGATGATGATCAGGATGATGCTGACGATGATCATGATCAGGGTAATCAGGATTATGCTGATGGTAATGATGCTGATGATGATGACGATACTGATGCTGATGATGGTAACGACCCATGGTGATGATGATGCTGATGATGGTGGTGATGATGATGATGATGATGATGATGATGATGATGATGATGATGATGATGATCATGACGGCGATGACCAGGATGATAATGATGACGACGACGACGATGATGATGATGATGATGCTGCTGCTGATGATGATGATGGTGATGAGGAGGAGGAGGAGGAGGAGGAGGAGGAGGGAGGAGAGAGGAGGAGAGGAGGAGAGGAAGAGAAGGAGGAGGAGGTGGAGGAGGAGGAAGGAGGGAAGGAGCGCGGGGCTCCGTCTCTTCAGCACGAGGACCCGACACCACAGGATGCTTGGAAAGCGCAGAGAACCACAGCACACACACACCCTCCCCCCGAGCTGCCTCCCCCCCCACCGCTGCTGCTGATGATGATGATGATGATGATGATGTGATGATGGTGATGATGGTGATGATGGTAAAGAGGAGAGGAGAAGGAGGAGAAGGAGGAGGAGAGGAGGAGAAGGGAGGAGAGAGGAAGAGAGGAAGAGAAGGAGGAGGGAGGAAGGAGAAAAGGAGGAGGAGGAGGAGGAGGAGGAAGATGACCCTGGCCCCCCCCCCCCCCCCCGCCGCCGCCGGACCGCGCGGCCGCGGCCGGCGCGCCTGGGGCGGGGCCGCTCGGCGGCTCCGCGGAGGGCGGCCGCCGCTGGGCCTGCCGCGCTCCGCCGCGCGGCCTGGCCACGCCCTGGACCGCCTGCCGGCGGGGCGGGGCGCGCAGAGGAGCGCCGAGGGTGAGGTCGGGAAAGATGCGGGAACAGGAGGAGGCAGACGGCAGGATTAGGAGTAGGAGGAGCAGGGAGCAGGAGGAGGCAGATGACAGGTGGAGGAGGAGGAGGAGGAATGAGGAGGAGGAGGAGGAGGAGGAGGAGGAGGAGAGAGGAGGAGGAGGAGGGAGGAGGAGGAGGAGGAGGAGGAGGAGGGTGAGGTCCCCCTCCAGGGGGATTTTGGACAAACAAAACTAAGCAAATTACCCCACCAATATTCAAAAGAGATGCCCAACATGAGGAACAAATAGTCCCCAGACTCTATCTGTTTTAGTATTTTTGCACATTCCCCCTGTAGTAAAACCTAGGGCCGAGGGCGACCCCTCCGTCCTCCCTCCACCCCCCCCCTCCTGAGGCGGAAACCCACAGATCCAGGGACGGCGGTTTTTTCTCAAACTTCGGCCTCTGGGGGCCCTCACCGCCGGGCCTCGGGGCCGCCAAGAAAACGACGCGGGATGAGAAACCAGTCCTGGGGAATGGGTCAAGACGTCCGGGGACCCCCACCCTTTCCTGCCTGCCCCCCTCCTCCTCTCGCCCCCCCCCCCCCCCCAGATTCTCCTCCCCCTCCCTTCACAGTGCGGGCGCAGAGGCGGGCCTCCGCCGCAGCCCGCGCCGCGCCGCGCGCGGCCCGCACGGCGCGACGCACGCACCCCTACCTCCGAACAGCCTCGGAAGGGGAGGGGCCTCGGGAAGAGAGCTCAGGAGCCCGAGAAAGCCCCCGCGAGAAAGGAGAGAAAGAGAGAGCAGCCTCAGGGGGCCTCGGGGCGAAGGAGCGGCGGGGGCCGCGCGAGGCCAAGGGGGCGCGACGGCGCAGGCCCGTCAGGGCCACCACCCTAGACCACGGGTCCTATGGCCCCCCCACCACCACCCTTACTGGGGATGCCGACCTTCAGCACGCGGCAGCGAAGCTGGGGTGATGGTGGGGGGGGCCACTCCTCGGTCCTTCCTCCTTCTCCTCCTCCTCCTCCTCCTCCTCCTCCTCCTCCCTCCCTCCCTCCCTCCCTCC